ACAAAATTTCAGATCATGATTTTGTTTTTCCTCATTGCCAACATCTAGTCTTTAAATCCATGTTGTTGTTGTTTCTTTTGTTGGTGTTTTTTTTGTTTGTTTGTTTGTTTTGGCACATCAGGCTGCTCACATCATGTGGATGTGTCCAGCCTGTAATTTGAATTATGCAATATTTAGCATTCACAGTTGTTAGTTCCATTTCCTGTAGATATTCTGCTGGAAAGGTTCCCACAGAATGAACAACAAAGCAATAGTAATGAAAAGAATTGGTTTGTTAGATAACATCAAATTGGCTGGGAAACCAAGAGAATTCAGTTTTGTTTCAGATAAAAGTTTGCCGTTACGTTGTTGTTTTGTTGCCACTGTTAAAAGTGATCATAATTATCTGTACCATAAGCAATATTAACTGCAGTATTACTACAGTTTGTGTTTATTGTCAGTAGCTCTTTCATTGTTGACATGTTCCTGTGATTTAAGTTCTGAGAGAAAACATTGAAGTCCTCTCTTCTTTAATTTTCATCACTCATTTCAAACATGTATCCTGTTGTCTCTGTTTTGTGGGTCTTTATTGACCTTGGACGTGGTTTATGGTAGAAACTAATAATAGAAAAGTTATGCTGTTGCTTCCAACAGGGTTAAAATAATTATTTGGTTGTGCTGTGTGTCATAAGACTGAGCTGAATACAGCACCTCAGATTGAGGAAGTCTTTTGGATGAAAGACAAAACGTTTCTACATTTTTTTTTTGTTTGTTTGTTTTGCTTTGTTTTGTTTTTTGAATGTCCAGAGGACCGGATTAATTTTTTTTAGATTTTTCTACCTGGATTATTGAGCATGCATCAGGATATTTTGTAGACATGTTGTTTTCAAGGACACACAACTGTAACACAAATGCTATTTTTTGCCACTACCTTCTTTCTTTGCAGAGAAGAGCTGATGATCAGTTCATCCTTTGATTCTTTGGAGGTTCTCTTAGACTCTTTCGGACCAGTCAGAGACTGCACCAAAGACAATGGAGGCTGCAGCCGCAACTTCCGCTGCATAGCTGACCGAAAGCTTGATTCCACTGGATGTGTGGTGAGTCATATTGTTTTAATCAACACACCTTGAGTTTAACAAAGTTGAGGCAGGTCATCTGGATGGGTTCTTGTTGTTAAAATGTTTTATATTTTATCCAAAAGACTTCTTCAGTCTGAGGAGATTAAAAACAGATAAGAAACTGAACCAGGACTTCAGCCATCCGTCAGGTGAAATGAAAGACCCCAAACCCAGACGCAGACCAGTGGTCATCCCGTATGTTGCAGGAGTTTCAGAAAAAAACAAGACTTTTATTATTAAACATAATATCCCAGTGGCCCTAGTGAGGGTAGCCAGGGTCAGCGTGCCAAGGTCCCCGCCGTTGGCTACTGCCCATGGCATCATGCACCTGACCTTTATGGCCCTTCCTGCAGGTGGTGGGTCCGAAGGAAGGCAAACTCATGCTGCTGCTTCATGCTGAGCCGGACTGAGCCCCATGGGTAGAGACCCGTTCACCAGGCACTCGCCGACGAGTCCCTCCCCCAGGTCTGGCTCAAGGGTGGGGCCCTGTTATCCTACGTACGGGCAAGGGACTCTGAGTTCCTTGTTCTTTTATTCCTGTCCATATAAGTCTTCTGAATCACTCTGTCTGGCCTGTCACCTAGGACCAATCTGCCTTGGGAGACCCTACTAGGGGGCAATTATAATTGCCCCCCGACAGCATAGCTCCTAGGATGATTCAAGCACAAAAACTTCTCCACCACAATATAGTGGCGATTCACTAGGGTCCTCAAGGTGTCATGAGAGTTTGCCCATCCAGTCTACATGTGTTTTTTTTTCGTTTTTTTTTTTTTCATTTAGCCTTTATTTATCCAGGTAGTCTCATTGAGCCACGAGAACTCATTTTCAAGAGAGACCTGTTTAGGGAGCAGATTGTGTGGGTTAAGGGCCATGCTCAGGGGCCCAGAGTGGGGCGAATGAGGGTGGAGGGAGGTGTGAGTGTTTCACCTTTTCCACCCACATTTTGATGTTGACGGTACCGGGAGGTGAACCTACGACTTTCCGATCACAAGCCCATCTTCTAACCTCTGCGCCACCACTCCCCACAAGTTTTGTGGACTTGGAGAAGGGATTCAACCATGTTCCTCGGTTTACACTTTAGGGGGTGCTCTGTGAGTATGGGATTGGTGGTCCATTCTTATGGGCTGTTCAGTCTCTATACAAGCAGTGCAAGAGTTTGGTTTGCATTGCCAGTAGTAAGTCAGATGCCTTCAGGGTGAGAGTTGGACTCAACTAGGGCTGCCCGTTGTCACAATTATGTTCATAACTTTTATGGACATAATTTCTCGGTGCAGCCAGGGGGCGGAGGGTTTCTGGTTCGGTGGCCTCAGGATTCAATTGCTGCTCTTTGCAGACGATGTGATCCTGTTGGCTCATCGTGCCATGATCTTCAGCTCTCACTAGAGAGGTTCACAGCCAAGTGTGAAGCAGCTGGGATGAGAATCAGCACCTCCAAATCTGAGGCCATGGTCCTGAACTGGAAAAGGGTGGATTGCTCTCTCCAGGTCGAGGGTGAGGTTCTGCCTCAAGTGGAGGAGTTCAAGTATCTCGGGGTTTTGTTCATGAGTGAGGGAAGAATGGAGCATGAGATTGACAGATGGAAGACCCAGGACACGCTGGAGAGACTATGTCTCTGTTGGCCTGGGAATACCTTGGAATCCTCCCAGATGAGCTGGAAGAGGTGGCTGTGGAAAGAGATGTCTGGGCCTCCCTGCTAAAGATGTTGCTCCCACGACCCAACTTCGGAATAAGTGGAAGATATTGGATGGATGTATGGACGGACGGACATCCCAGTGGCTTTCAAACCCCAAAATGCATTATGGTAAAGACTGGTTCATCTCAAAGATCCAATCCTCCAGCACAGAGTAATATTGTACAGTATATGCTGTGCAGTGTCAGGAGGGCTGTGATTTGTTCTACAATGGGGAAACTAAACAGCCACTGGCCAAAAGTATGGCCCAGCACAAAAGAGCAACATCATCATGCCAGGAGGCTGTGGTTTACTCTCATCTGCATGCCAGCAATCACTCTTTCAGGAATGAAGATGTTCACATCCTAGATAGAGAAGAATGTTGGTTTGAGAGAAGAGTGATAAAAGCCATCTTTGTGAAGAGAACCCATCTATCAATCAACATATGCAGAGTTCTTCGTGTTCAACTGTCACCTTCTTACAATGCTGTTATTGCAAGCATCACTCAGCCCTCTGTGAATAGCAAGTGGCCATCAGAGTTCTAATGATTAATTGTTAGGCTGATGGCCCTCCTCTATCATGTGAATAACTCGTTTTGGCTGTCACCAGCAAACTGGTTGATCCACTAATGAGAAAGTGCTATTTATAAGACTGAGTTTGTGCAGCACTTCAGACTGATAAAGTATTTTGGGTAAAAGACAAAATGTTTCAAAAAGAAGATTCTGTCCAGAGGACCTGACTCAACCTTGTTAGATTTATCTACCTGGATTATTGAGCATGCATCAGGACATTTACCTTGAGGCTCTTGTAGAAGCCATAGTAGAGAGATGAGGGTCTCATTCAAAAGAAAATCTAAGATTATTCAAGTGTAGCTTACAGTCTGCACAACCAATTTTCTAATTGATACAATACAAGGACAAGAGATTGCCTTAACCCTCAGCGGGTTCAGACCCTAGGCACTTTTAATCTCATGCCAACATATTTGGACACTTTACCAATGGTCATAAAACTGTCCTATATTAATATTCTGTTTTGGCCATTGGTGTTTTAGTTCTTCAGCTTTCATAAATATTCATGCATGTATCTGTGTGTAACACATCTGTAGGCCATAGTGACCCACATCAAGGACACACAGTAATCTGTGCAATGTTTTTGAATAGAGTGCTTGACTCTCCCTCTTGTCTCTCATGCCTCTTAGACCGTCAACACAATTATTACCTCCAGGTGGTGCTTAGCAACCAGGAAATGTAGCAGCCAGGTTTGTTTTCTTCTCCATCTGTTGGGGACTCCAGTGATACCATTCTTGTCATTTGCAGAATCTTATTGCCTTCTGCTAGTGTTTTGCTTCCCTTCAATCCCTCAACCAGAATCCCCCCTCCTATCGATAAGCTGTCAGACGCCATCCGCCCAACAATTTAATTTCTTTTCTAGTGCTCTGGTGCACTTGACTCGAGCCTTTCAGGTGGTCTGGGAAGATGTTGTTTATGTGATTTGGCATGCTTATCACTTGTGATGCATCTGAAACAGGATAGAGCAGCTTGTGAGAAATTTTAATGTGTGGGGATACTCCATTTAAAGATTACAGCCAAGACCTGCTTTCCCAATGAATTGTGAATGATGGTAGTAGCATTTGCAAGTAAACATTACATTTGGCTCATGTTGAAGGCCATTTTTTTGATGACTCTTGGTCTTTGATTATCTTCACTCAGAAAGTCTGAGACATAAATGTGTGTAATAAACAGAAAGAGAGTGATTAATTAGTTTATGCTTTTACAACAAAATTTAAGGTTTGTTATAAAGTGAGGACAGTTTTTTTTTTTAAAGACATCTCATTCTCTGATATATTCACTGTTGTTTTACACTAAGCAGAGTAATTTATTGGTAGGTGTGATGGAGTTTTAGGTATTAAGCAGTCAGCAACTGCACCCACTAAGAGGCTTTTCATACATTTGTACTTCAGCTATTTATTTATTTTAATTTTCTTGGTATTTTTCTTATAAGTTTTAGGAAGATAAGGCAAGGAAGCTAAGCATGCAAAACATTGTATTTGCCTCCCCCCCCCCCCCCCCCCTGTTCTGTAACACTGCAGAAGACTTGTAATGAGATTTAAGGTGGATTCACTCAAAATACATTTGATCTTGTCCCCAGAACTGAACACTACAGCAGAGTTATTCATGAGCTCTTAAGCAGTGTAAGAAAACACAATCATCAGAGTCCATTTATACTCATGAGGGAACATGAAGTCATTTTCTTCAGTGTCTCAATTCAGACTGTTTCAGATAATAAAAACTCAGTACAGCTGAGCCAGAAGGAAAGCTCATTCCTCCAATTTTTATTAGTGTATACATCACACTTTCTGACAAGCCAGTGTCACAGTCATTGTGAGGATTTTTCATTTCACTTAGGACTGAAGTGGCAACAACTTAGCCTGTACTATACTAACTTGTCACTTCATGTGCAGATATGTGTCTCACTATAATGTATGGAGACTCAACTTGGATAGTCAACCTCAATCAGTCTTTATTTAAAATAAAAATCAATCAATAATTATTTAGGCTTTTAGCTCTTCAGCTGCAAACAATGATTTCAAGGTGCATTTTTATAACATTTTTGTTTTAAGTCCAATCGGTTTGGTTTTGGTGCTGTTTTAAGCTCAGGGCTGCTGTTTAAAACAAGATAAAGATGATATTTTGTATGTTTTTTTTTTATGTTTTCAGTAATTCAGACATAGGAGTCGAGTCAACTTCATAGCTGAGCAACTAGATTCAATCCTGATTAGGTTTAGTGCTTCACCAAGACTTTTTTTTTTAATGACACTGGTGTGTCACCATGTATTCAAAATATATCACACAATTTTCTCATATTGCCAAAAGTTATTATAGAAAAAGACTATCTGTGCAATATTTATCAGCGTCAACATGTTGGAACCTGATGTGATAGATCTGTGTAGCCACATGCATGTGTAGAGTTTGACCCAGGTTTCAATGCGTTTGAAGAATTTGGTGAAAGGAATCCTGTAAGTTACAGCAACATTGCACTGAAATGACAGCAGTGCCGTACCCATCCAATTTCCATCTCATACCAAGAGATGACAGAGTGGATATTTTTAGCCAGGGCTTTGAAGTCTCATGGGCATTTGAATCTGTTTTGCTTTTGCACTTTTTATGCCTTCCCTTGTGTGGGGAAGTGCAAAAAAGACATTTTTTGTGACATCCTTCCAGAATGCATAATTACAGGATGATAACCAACAGCTTGTATTTGCTATTTATCCATCTATCTACAACACTGCTTCTTTATGTTGCAGTGTGTTGCACATCCTCGCCAAAAGCATCGGGTGGAAAAAAATCCAATTCCTTCTCTCCGAAATTAGTCTCAGAAGGATCCATTGAGAAACGGTGAAAAGATTTCTTTCCCAGCGCTTTGAGGTGTCATGAAACTCTCCTTTTGTAATCTATTAATTATTTACTGTCCTGTGTTATCTTCATCCCCTGTGAAAATGTGGGGCTGTAATATTTTTTTAAAACCT